AAAAACGTTCCTAAATTATTGTCTACGGGATTCCAAAGGGTTCACGCCTTATGAGCCCGAAAAGCTTTTAAACCGATAGTGCAAAGATAAGTCCAAAAAAAATTTTCTGCTTAAAAACAAACTCAACGCGTGTCTTAATCATTATTCAACATTATCCAAAGTTCGATTAGAAGTCGGAAGTCGTTCCGTACAGCTAAATATTAATGTACATGTTCGCTCCCTTTTTTTATGTGACTATTAAGAATGGCGTTGAAGACGTTTGGAGAAGAATTGCAGGTAAACATTTTCTGAAGTGCAAAACACAAATTTGCTAAATAAAAGTGGTTTATTGTCGTTTTGCAGGATGCCAACATCTCAACAATTTTCACAATATTTTGAAAAATTCTGTCTTTCAAACTGTAATTCACCTTTGGTTTATGTTTCATAACAGTTTTTTTATGCATTTGAATGATATTTAGACGACAACAATGTGCGTTTTCACAAATAGGTATTTTTTCGACTCCAAAAGTGTCGAATTTTATTGATTTTCCATTTATGTAAATGTGCTGTAGCACACCAAATAGCCCATTTTGACCTTAATTGCGCCTGCTGATGGTTTTACAAACCATGGCAGGCAGTAAAGTTTGTTTTTTTCGGATTTGCGGTAAATCCAATTTAGGGCGCATTCTTTTAGTTGTGTTCTCAATTGATCGCCGTCAGGCGTTCGTGCGATCTTCGTTCAATTATCAGGCGTTTCCACCGGCATGACCTTTGATGTTTACCGACACGAGCTAATTGAAATCGTATTATTTCGCTCGTCGACCTGTCGAAGCTGTTAACAAGTTTTTAATCGTTTTTGAACAAGACTTTTTCCGTTTCACCCTGCTTCAAGAGGGATCAAGTCAGCTGAAGTTGATTTATAAAATGGGACGTAAACTAAACCGTTCTAAACTGAAATTGTAAATACTCCATTTTAATACGAGCAGTATTAATGAAAGTGAATGATATCGACACGTGGCTCGTTAACATACTTTGTTTGTTGAATGAAATGTCAAAATGGTATCGGCAGCTAAAAGTTATCTGCAATTATATATTTGCGTGTGAAATTTATCTCAAACGGTGCATCTGAGAAAAAGTGGCTTTCACCAAACGCCTAAACACATTTCGCAAACTTCACATTCAATGTTTAAGAAATATGACCAAGTATTTTATGAAAAACTGTTATTATGTATCAGTTTATCAGAAAACGAACGTGTTTTTTATCAGTAATTATCATTACTAACTTTCAAGAACAATAATAAATTGGATTTTATTCAAAATTGTCTTCAGACACGTGCAAATCTAGCGGCTGCGTAAAAATATTATTTCGGCCTTCTGGTATATATCTAATATTCAAATTTGTATCCTGTCGAGAGCTTTTGCCCTTTTTAAATAACTTTTTTTTTCTTGATTGAATTCTGTTGGTATTAAAATTTCGACACAGATATTTTTCATTTACTTTTTAAAATTAGTTTAAAATTTTATTCATTTCCGATTTTAATTAAAATAAAATAGTAACTGCACCCCGAATTTTATTGCAAAATTGAACGAAAACGCTGCACAATTTCCTACTTTTTTCAATTTTAACCATTTTGTTTGAATATTTGAATCAATGCTATTAATGAATAAATACGAAACACATGCCCATTTTGCAACTGAAATTCTACTTAATGGCCAAAGTTGGAATTGATGAAATGCCAAAAAACCGTCGGATTAAATTATTGCTTTTCATGCAGGTTCGGGAATTTTATCATTTAAATATTATGCGCTTAACTATACGCCGTAATGATCATTGAATTTGAATTACATTCGTTTGCTTACACAGATTTATACCTACATTATGAAAATATTTCTTTAAAAACGAAGTAAAATCTTGATGTTTTAAATGATTACACAAAACTCAAGTCTGAGAATAAACCACTTTATTCAATTTTCATACTTTCTTCAAATAACTTTTTTGTGTCGCTTTGATATTTTGTTGTCAGCGTGTGATGTACTCAATATTTTTTTAATTCCGTGGGGTGTCAGTCAAGTGAATTTATTGATATATAGTTTGGTAAAATGAATGAAACTGATATATTCATAAATTCTGGTTTTATAATTTTTTTGGTAAACATTTTTTATCTAGCTAAAACAATTTACCTGCAGACGAATATCAATTTTTTCCACTAAATCCAAGAATCTTTCACATTTGGAATACTAGTTTTATGGGGCTTTGCAAGTTTCATAATTACTTGGAAAATACTGAGGTTTTTGGAATTTTAACTGAAATGGATGAATATTATTGAACTTTTAAATCGTGCGGTAAATATTCTTCGTAACCAAATTCGTTAAAAAAACAGTTTATTGTTTGTTGCTTTTTAATGCAACAAGAATAAAAATTTTCATGTTGCAAATGCAAACTGTATCAAAATATGCTTGAGAAATTTGTTTATTTAAAGTGTTCAAATCTAAACGAATTCATAATGTATAATGTAAACTGAACTGATCTATTACTTATTCAGATTGATCCATTGTAGATCAGGTTTCAACGATGGGAATAATTTAAAACTGATTAATTTGAGTATTTGAGCGACTTCTGTATGACAACAGATGTTGAAAAGAGTTAGCTTGAACAGGCCAATTGTGATAAAATAGAAATAGTTTTCAACAATTGTAGTTTGTAGACTATTGTATACATGTTTATATTTTTTCTTGCTTGACCCATTTATTGTGTATTTACGCTTTCCTTTACTTATATTTTAGAATGCGATGTCCAAGCATTTTTCCTTTAGTTTTTAATTATATAATAATTAAAAATTTGATTAAATTTATTACCGAAGTCAATTTTCTTTATAATGCAACTAATCCAGTTATGGTTCTTGCCAGAAGGATTTACCTGATTCTGATATTGTATACATTATTATAGTACTTGGCTGTGCTTAAATTAATTAATTATTCAATTAACCAAATAGCGTGATTCTGCGGTTTTTACAGTTTAACCGTACCTACATTTTCTATAGCCTTTGTAACATTCTAATATTCAGTTCTGCCTGAAATAACGACTAATTCACCGTTCTTTCAGTTATTTTACGTTGCCGCTACGCAGCTTTAATCTCTTTCACAATTAATATCATCCAATATCTTGAGTTTATGTTCGCATTACTTTCTCGCGGATCATAAAAACGCTAAGCCCGGATGAGCCGTTCTTGTTCGAGCGTGGATAACCGTCAAGTTATTGTACTTTAAATGGCTAACGAAGGGGAATTTTAAAGTTATTACCTTGAAGCTTGTTTCGGAAATATTGACATAAACATTATTGGCTTTTCTGGGTTTTTTTAACATCGAACCGGAATTATGAGCTAATGTTATTGCTGTTGCAGAAACAACTTAAAAGACGATTTGTAATCCATGGCTTGTCTAAATTTATGAAACATGACGATGGAATATTGATGTCAAAATAAATGTAAGCTAACGCGATCTGAAAATACAAAACTCAATTTCCAGTGCATAGTTTCAATCTTACACCATATGAAATTTGCTCAGTAAGAAATGCAACCGACATTTTATTACACTGCAATCTTCTGGCTTGTGCAGAGTAGCAGAATAGTGTAGAGAAGAGTATTCCGTAATAGATATTAATGAAACGTCTGAACTGAAAACTTTCCAAGGATATAAATTTATCTTTCGCACGTTTAAGATAGCTGGCACTAATGAATACAGCAGAAGATACTATAGTTAGCAACTTTACAGTTGAGTTCAAACTTTATTAATTCATTACTTTATCAGCTACCATCAATTTCTCTTGTAGATTTTACTTACCCCTGTTGGATTTATTTTAGTTTACCAAACTGTCGGCGATTTCAAAAAAATGTATACTTTAACATAAATAAAATTTTGTTGAGGTGAATATTCAAACTATATTCACTAACTACTCAATAAAATTGAAAAAAAATAAAATTGTACCAGTATTCGGGGCCAACTTCGAGCTCATAGCTCATTCCAGATTAAGCCTCAAGTTTGCTAGTCAGCAATAAATTCCAGGAAATGTCCAGTTAAGAAAGAACTATTAATAAAATGCATCGATTTTTCGTGTAATTGATCCAGTGGTCGAAAACACTTTTGTAGATTTGTTTTCCGCTCTTCAATGGTATTTAAAACTAACAAAATGCAATCTTGGGAAAATATGAAATTGTCACCAGATCTATCTTACTTACTATATACTTACCCTATATTTAATTTCTGTATAAAAAGTACGAAACGAACTTTAATCAGAACATGATATGCCCGACTGGGGCATTATTGCCTAAGCATTAAATCCAATAAACATAATGAGCCACTTATTACTTCAAGAATGATTGCAATTATGAATATTCTCATGTACTCGAATCATAGTTAATCAAAATTAGCTCCAACATTTTCGTAATTAACTCGTAATAATTTAGTATCTGCTATATTCGAGTCAAAAATCGTTTTGGGGTTCAAATAATGAGCTTAGTAAATGGGATATTAATATAGAAGTGATATTAAACCAATGTTGTGTTGAATGTTGTCGGTATTGAATGTAAGCTTTAAATATTAATTTTCCCCATAATTTGTGTTCCATTAGCATCATCGTATAGTCTCTAAAGCTTCATTAAAGTGGTACAGTTAATTTCTTTGCATGGCGCTTTATGGAAAATACATCTAAAAAACCTCCTTAGAAATAATGGAGGAGAAAGTGTGGTTTACTCAATTCCGTCTGCTCAAGGGTTTATTTGAACTTTTTTATTCAATGCTTAGTTAACAGATCAAAGCGACGGAAAATCTTAAATTAGTTGATTGTTTGATGTGATGGTGAAACTGCGTCCTTGCGTACATTTTCAGAAATCCTTATTTGTCTTCCAAAGATGACAAATGAGTGAACAAAGATTATTTAAAGCAATTTTTCGAATTTTTAATAAACCATAGGACATAAAACAGACTCACAGGTATGGGTGTTTAGTAAATAAAACTTTCATTAATTAATTGCATTCAATTTTATTCCCCATTCCGTAAGAATCTGTGACGCATATCTGCAATAACGTCATGTTGATTTTTCATGTATTACATTTTATGTCATTTATGTTCACAATTAGTTAATTTAGGCATGGATCGAGTCAATTAATTGCTTCAATGTCCAAAATAATATCTTCAGCCGGATATAAGACGATGGTATCATAGTTAAAAGTCAGTTCTTCTGGAGTGGCAATATTTAGCTTGTATCTGTGGTTTTTCAGGTATTTCACCAAAGCGACTTTGATTTCCATTTGGGCAAATTTATAACCTGAAATAGAACAGTTTATGTATTTTATACAGTCATTTTTTTACCTCCTAACAATGTTTACTTAAATATCAGAGTTCCGTTAGAAGCCATTTAAATGAATGATATAGACGGAGAAAGATGAATTGAATAATAATTGCGGTGATTGAAGTATTTGGTATTTGTAGTAAGCTTTTATAAAACATAATTGATGGTTCTTATAAAATCAAATTTTGAATAACTTGTTTTCGTATTATAAAGCAAAACAAACCTTACCCCATTTTTGCAAAGTTAGCGCATCCACGCATTTTTTTACAATTGATTATTAGCAAAGAAATATTATAATAAAAGTAGCTATAAAATAGGCAATTACTTAACCAAAGCAGTCTTACCAAGGCAAAGTCTAGGTCCATATCCAAATGCAAACCACGCATCTTCAACGTTGGAGTTTTGATTTTCTGGGGACATATTTTCCGGATCGAACATTGTGGGATTACGGAAGTACTCCGGATCATTTTGAATAGCCCAAACAGGAATTAGGATAGTTGTACCTTTTTCAATTACTTGATCCGTTCCAGGTATTCGGTATTCTTTCGTGCATGCTCGAGGTAGTTGAGCCAGTGCAGGATAGCACCTTAATATTTCTTAAAAATAGGTAGAAAATATGTAATTGATACACTTATTGGCGCATGATATTCGGAAGTAAGCGAACAACATTGATTTTAAATTAAATTTCTTATCTTCTAATTTAGGTTTGTGGTTTTTTCATTAGCAACCCCAAAATGGTTTATATCCACGTTAAAATAAAATAGCATAATTTTCGAATGCATTAAAACTGAATACTTGAGCGGTAATTATTATACTTTAAAAGCAAATGCAATGCTACGACTGAGCTGAGTAAATTGCATGGTTCTAAATAATTTCTTCTCAAAAATCACTTCTTTGGCATATCAGAAGTTTTTGGCGAACAGAAGAATTTGTTTCAAATTTATTTAATAACAAAAGATCTATTTTTCAATATTTAACACTCTAGCAATGCTTTCTTACCTGCCAGGCACAAATCAGCATATTTCATTTTAGACAAATCCTCATACGTTAATTCGGCATTATCTTTACATATGCTTAAAATTTCCGACCTCAATTTATCCTGAACGTCTTGGTTTTTAGCCAATTCATACATTAAATATGATAGGGTTGATGATGATGTTTCATAGCCTAGAAAATTAGTAGTCGTTGCGCTATGATCCAATTAAAACTAATAACATTAAAAAAATTCCATTAACTACATGATAATAACAGTAATAGCAATTTTTTTTACGAAAAAGTCTATCAACGTAATCGATGCCGGTGTATGGTTTGTTGAGGTAATAAAGTTACCAAATAATCGATTAATCTAAGATTTCCGCACTAACAAATATTAAATCCAGTTTAACATTGAAGATGTTTAGAGCCGATCTTTCACCTCCTTACACCTCATTAATTATAGAAGCGGTATGTAATCAGTGATTTGCTGATTTAATCAATATGCGCGATATTGACTCTTCGTGTAAGTTAACAGAAAATTTTTGTACTGCCTATACAAAATACAAGAAAGTTTTGTGCTTTGATAGTAAATCTAATCAATCAGAAATGCTATTAATGATTCAAAAAAATCTCCAAAATAATGTTGTCCTACCTGCAGCATACAGAAAAGTACTAGTGGCTACAACATCTTGAAAAGTCAAAGGCCCTCCATTTTTCGACATTTGAAATAAAGTGTCCAAACAATCTTTCCTAGCGCCAAACTAGACATTAAAATGTTGTTTTCAATTTGGGGGCGGAATTATTACGCCTACCTTATGATACTGTTCTTCTCCCTTTCATCAACTACATCCTTGATGAGTGAAGTGAAAAATGGTCTTACTGCCCAAGGAAAAAAACTGTATCCTAAGTGAGCTAATAAGTCCCAATTGACGAGAGACTCTACTAAGAACCGCAACGGCCTGGATTGCGCTATCAATTTTCCATAATGTTTAAAGTCGCTGTTTGGGTCATCTAAGCTCTTGCTTTCAATACCAAAGAAACAGGAAGCGGTCACATTAATTAGGTAACTAGTTGTTGTATCCCTGATATTGAGTGGTTGGCCCTTTTTACATGAATCTGAAACTTTAATTATTTTTTTTTCATGAGTACCTATTTTATATTTCTAGAGGTTGTTTGATGTAAATGTAAATGCACCTACTTCGCTCTTCCATGCGATGACCGAACTTGTATAATGTATCGTACATATTCTTCAACTTGGAAGGCGTGAAAGTGGGTGAGAGATGTGAACGCAATACTTTCCATTCGTCCCCTTCTTTATGAAATAAATTATCAGACATAGAATCCTTTTTGTGATGGAAGAACCCATGAGAAGAAAAGTGATCGTAGTCCGTTACCAGTACTTTCTTAATCAATTTAAGATCAATTGGAATCCAAACTGGATTGTAAAATATATATATTCCTCCTGAAAGCAACAAAATGTTTTAATTAGGCAAGTGAGAGGTACATGTTTGAATTTATTAACTAAAATCAGTAATGAGTTTACGGTAATGGTGTACCCACAAAACGCGCAAAGAGTTTCACACTTTTTGAGATAAAGCAACAAAACTGCAGTTATCCTGGTTCGTAAGATCTAATGAATTTCTGGACAAATGCGTTGTAAGTTAATCAGCCGAATTCGATTTCAAACAGTTTTTCGCATTTAAAATTAACAGTTGCTTATTAGCCAGAGTTTTATTTGGTTAATGTTTTAATTGACTCAATAAATAGTGGTAAACTTTCAAAATATAAATGTGTTATCTCCTATACTTTGATTGCTTGAACTATTCAATATTATTACGCGTGATAAGTAGTCAAAAAACAAGCCACTTCATTGTTTCTTATCAGCGGCTTTAAAAATATTCATTATTTTATCGAAAATGATTTATCTGCAAACCATGCTTTTTGTACTGTATTGTATCAAAAAATCGTCGTTAATCTTGTATCTGGTGCAACTCAATACTCGAACCTGTATAGACAAACTCATCTCAATAAGTTTTGATTTATTGAACTTAATGGTCAAAAATTTGGTTCGGAAATCATATACGGCTTTAATCCCGCTTAAAATTCATATATTTTATTATTTGTTATACAATCATTAACATTACTGTTCAACTTTTATTGATAGCGTTCATTCGTTATTTACATTCTTTATCTTTATACCGAACTGTCCTACTTTTTAAGTGCCAGAGCAAGCCCTTTGATAAGGTTTCAAAAAACTCTACCTTTGCGATAAAACAAGAAATAACAGAGTATCCACAATATTGAACACTTAATTTGAATTACATTTGCATTTTTGCTCAGACATTCATTGCCTAAGTGTATCAAATAATAACAAGTGCTCTTGAGAAGTTTCAAATGAACTGAATAAATAATTTGAGTAATATTTACATTAAACTTTCAGTTCTGAGACCTTTTGTGTATCTTTTTATTTCGATTGAATACAGCAACTTTCGACCTGATATTCTACAATCAAAGATGCATTTTATCGGCTGCACTGTTAATATTTTCGGACAGAATGTTACTTATTTCCACTCTTCTTTAACTAAACTAACTTCTTTAACTATTCTAAGCTTAAAATCCTAAATATTTTCAGTTATGTTTTAATACACTCGATCCTTTAAATCTCGCCATAGAGCCAATAGAGCCAAAAGAAGAGTGGAGTGGTATCTGGTATAGCGGTGGACATTCAATTTCAAAAGATTTGGAAAAAGTTGGTTACAGAATCTCGGAAAATTCAAACAGTGGCGGAAAATTATGCTGTTTGAACCACATTATATGGTAACTCTAATGAATCAACGACGGTAATTATGTCTGTTATAAGTACCATTTAAACAAAACGTAGTTTCATCAGAGATGAAATAATTATGCGAGAAATTGTAATCAACGCAGTTGGCTATAATTTCTTCGGAAATTGAGAAAATCACCAAATGTGTAGCTAACTTTCAATTAAATTATGTGTTTCAGAGCGTTTAGAGAAACTGGTTTAAAAAAAGATTTGAATTGTATTTTTGAATAACCGGCAATGCGGCATATTTGAATAAACTGGTATTACAAGCGTATTTGAATTATTTGGCAAGTTATTGGCAGTGCTTCCACACAAAAATAATTTTCCAAATTTAACAAACTCACCATGTTTAGCCCCCTTTTTCTTCAAGTCCCAGTACGCTTTTCTAACATACTCGGTTGGATTACCACTTCCAAATATATTTTGGTCAACTGATCCGAATAGAAATCGCGGATTGCCTTGAGTTATTTTTCTTCTACTCCAATAAGAATGTTTGTATTTCAAAAAAAAATACAGCAAAGTAATTAGTGATATTAGTATATAGACTAGCATTGTAAATCTTAATATCTGAACTGCTAATGTTTTTAGCAGTTCTGATATTATATTAAGTATTTTTAAAATAAGGGCAGGATTAAGTTCAAATCAGAATGTTAAACCAATATTCCTCAATAGCAAAGCCAAAGAAAATATAAAACACTAATTTAAGTATGTAATAATATATTTAAATAAATAAATAAATTCAGAACAAAATAGTTTCAAATTTGCTTTATAGTATAAAATGCAAGTATTGAAATTTACATATTTTCCTCATTTGACAAAAAAGTCGTTTAAATACATCGATATTTTATTTGCTGTTAATATTTAACTTTCCACAGTTTTTCCTAATATCTAACACCAGTTTAATAAGAAAGCAAGAAATGTGTGAACAATGTGAGCTAATTTTTAAATTAAATTCGTGATTTTAAAACCTTATTGCTTCTATATAAATACTTTATTGACATTAGAAAATATATCTCAAGCCTACCCTTGAATTACCATTACAACGGTAATAAATATTGAACAACTTAGTCAAGTTATATCTTATCATATATATATAATCACATATTATATATAAGCTTATCATAGTACGAGTACCATATAAGATATTCCACATATAAATATAGGTATAATGTACACGTATACCATTAAAATTTTAGATTATATATTTTCACTTCACTTCAACTCGCWTCTAAATAACTTCATTTAARAGCTTCAAYATCCAAGATAATTTCTTCARCAGGACATAGAAGAATGGTAYCATAGTCAAAAGTCAGATTTTCCGGAGTCTTATCGTTCAGCGTATATTTGTAGTTTCTCAAGTAGTTCAACAAAGCAATTTTAATTTGCATCGCAGCAAATTTGTAACCTGCAATAATTTTTTTTCATTAATTATTTGAACATATTTGATTGAATTTTCTCATATTTTTCTACTACAGTAAAATAATAGCAACAGCATAAGTTAGCATACGTAGAATTAAAACCATTGGACCTTTGATTAAGAAATAATGTAAACATTGTCACAAAATAATTGCTTGTGTTTATGATAGTTCAGTTAAAAGTGAATGACCTTTGCTTTTAACTGAAATGCAATTTATTTTTTACTCTTTAAATATCTAAAAAAAATACTGGTTTGATCGAGATGCTTCAAAATCATCAATTACAGCATAAAATAACAATTAACAAATGTTTACCAAGGCAGAGTCTTGGTCCATATCCAAATCCAAACCATGCATCTTCAACATTGGAATTCTTGTTTTCTGATGACATATTTTCGGGGTCGAATTTCGTAGGATTTCGGAAATAGTCCGGATCATTTTGAATGGCCCAAATAGGGATTAGCGTCAGCGTACCTTTTTCTATTATTTGATCAGTTCCTGGTATTCGGTATTCCTTCGTACAAGCCCGGGGAAGTTGAGGAAGTGCTGGATAACATCTTAGGATTTCTGGATAAATTAGAATGTTTATTAAGCATTTATTAGATTGTTGTGAATGGTAAGTCCTATTGAGCAATAGCTTCGGTTGCAGATACTTTAATGGAATGCGAAATGAACAAATTGCTTAACAAAAGGACAAATGTTGTAGTGGTCGATTTAAAAGCTTGACATAAAGTGAACTAATTCTATATTTAAATATCACTTTTGCTGGCTGATTGTCGTGAGAAACATAGTACACGGTCATTTTCCTACCTGTAATGCACATATCAGCATATTTCATTTTACTCAAATCTTCGTAAGTTATTTCCCCTTTGGCATTATTGTTGCCAATGCTTAAAATTTCCGATCTCAGCTTGTTCTGAACATCTTGATTTTTAGCCAATTCGAACATTAGATAGGACAGGGCAGATGTTGATGTCTCATATCCTAGAATATCAACAGAAACTTACTTGCAACGACTCTAGTGTTGTTTATTCCCACCTGCAATATACATGAAAGTTGAATTAGCTACAAGTTCTTCAAAGCTGAAATGACCCCCATCTTTCATCAGCTGCATCACAATATCCAAATAATCTTTTCTGACCCTACTAAATTTATGAAATATAGTTCACTTTTAAATCTGCTTGAGTTAGATATGCATACATTTTAAGGTTGTTCCTCTCTTTTGCATCAACTGCTTCCTTAATAAGTTTACTAAAAAAGTGTGTTACTTTTTTCGGAAAAAAATTGTACCCTAAGGAAACCAATAAATTCCAGCTMAAAAGAGACTCCAATAATAGCCTCAACGGTCGTGGTTGCGTTATCACATTTCCATAATGTTCAAATTCACGCTTTGTTTCTTTTAATCTGTCAGCYTCAATACCAAAGAAGCAGGCAGCAATCACATCAGTCAAGTAACTTGCAGTTGTTTCTCTTATTCTAATTGCTTGTCGCTTGCTACATGAGTCTGCAACTTTAATTTATTGTGTTGTTTAATTTATTATTAGTATTATTTAATTAATAGTTTAACACAAAAATTCAGAAGCTCCTACTTTGTGCTTCCAAGTGATGTCCGAAATTATATAGAATATCGTACATAGTCTTCAGCTTGGCCGGTGTGAAAGTCGGTGAAAGATTCGAACGCAATGTTTTCCATTCTTCTCCTTCTTTAGTAAATATGTTTTCAGAAATAAAGTCGTTTTTATGATGGTAAAGTCCGTGAGACGAGAAACTCTCATAATCCGTTACCAGTATTTGCTTGATGAGATTGAGATCAATCGGGATCCAAATCGGAGTGTAAAATAAATACATTCCTCCTGTAAAAAACGAATGCAGATTTAATAATTGCGACTTATATTAAATATGGGTTTCAAACAAGGTTCAAGCGATCAACGCAACAATTTAATTTAAAAAAATGCAAATTGCGGTTGAAAAGCAATATAGAACGTGAATTTCTAAATATCTGCTGATTTTTAATAACTAAATGTTCTGAAAGCTGCCTAAATTTTAATGAAAAGATTGGACTAAATGACTTTCAAATGCAATCAAATATCTCTAAAATAACTCTTAGAAACGTTGTGGATCGCTTGGAAAGTTAATTTAAATCATTTATGGCATAGAGCATAGTCTCCTAATTAAACTGTTAATCATCATTGGTGCAGAAGACTTTCTCTATGTCTGCAAACAAATACCTTGGTTTACCTAATGAGTTACCTAATGAAACACATGTACTTTTATGGGCTGGTAAAAACTTATTTAAAAATCTTCAAACTAGGAAATTTACGCATCTATCAAAAGAATTAGACTCTTGTGGACATTGCTTGAATCTGTTCAGTTTTTTTCCACTTTTAAGTCATTTATAAGAACGAGTGGCTTGCATCTTCCGAGGTGCAAATATTTTTTTATTGTTTACATTTGTTCTCAGCATCGCCATAATATCGAAGGTGATTAGTTCAAATAGCTATAGGTAGGAGTAATTGAGGAATTTTGAAAAAGCAACCCTAAAAAAACATGTTCTATGTCACCTTTAGTGGCTTTGTTTTATTTCCTGTTCTCTTCTCTTCGACAACATAAAGTATATTTTCCATATCGAGGAATAGATCAGATATTTAAACTGCGTCTTTAGTTGTCTTTGGTGTTTAGTTTAAACGAATAACACAATAAGTGGTATTTCATTATTTTATTTCTTAACATCTCCATAATAAATAGTTGTTAATTGAATGTTTCTTTGAGAAGTAAATCATTTATGAATTTAGAAATTAAGAATGTTAAAGTCAATAGCTGTTTTCGACCTTGCACAGAATCTATTTTTAAATTAATTTCTACTTACCATGTTTAACTCCTTTTTTCTTTAAGTACCAGTATGCGTCCCTGACAAATTGAGTTGGGTTTCCACTTTTAAATATCCTTTTGTCAACAGATCCCAAAAGAAATCGTGGTTTTTCCTGCACTATTTTTCTCCGAGTCCAATACGAATGTTTGTGTTTTAAAATGAAATACAGCAAAACTCCCAGAATTGCCAAGAAATAAATGAACATTCTATCTTATGAATGAATGCCTCAACTGCAACTAACGTAACCGCTAGATCAACAATTCCTTGGACTCGTTATATTCATTGCCAAAAAGCTGTTAAAGCGACAGTTCCAAGTTAAAATTTACATGTTAAACCATTATCGATATTAAGCAAATTTGAAGAAGTTGAAGTTAGACAACAAGATTAAAAATTAATAATTATAACAATAACTAAAATTTGAAATAACTTGATTGCAATGAATATGTGATTTCTGCTTTATATAATCAAAACGAAAACTGTATGCAAAATTGTATATAGAATTCCCCAAACGAAAAATGTAATAAACATATAGCAGACGTATAACACTCATTATACGGTGATATCTTCATAGTAAACAATGGTAAGGCAATAAAAGGGCGATTAAAAACTTATATGACTTACGTGATCAATTGGAAGAAACTGCTTTAAAATATATCTGAAACCTAACCTTCACTTATGTAATCAGCAAGTGTTTTCACCGTCTTTTATACTTTCAAATAACAATCTAAAATTTTATTGTTTAAGGTATCGTAGAAATATCTTTAATGTATGATTGGAAAATAAAATATATAAAAGATATTGCTCAAAAATATGAACAAACTGTTTATTTATACTGTGCTGCTCAAGTACGGTAATTAATGCGAAGATGTTTCTGTATCTATTCACTAAAGGTCATGAAAATTATCAATGCATTCAATTATACTTAATACTGAGCGGGGCAAGCAAAGTCTAAAATACAATCTTCACTTGGATGTAAATATAGTAAGTTTAACTTAAGCATCATAACCTTTTTTCATGCATTTAACTGATTTAAGTACGAACGTGCGCGAATTTTAATCAATTTTAATTAATGATTGAAAAGTCTTCAAATTTCACTTTTTACTAGACCAAGTTACCGATATCGATGGCCTAAATTAGATAAAATATGACGTTGATTATCTTGAACTCCAGACAACTGAAAAGTTAATATTTCAAGCTTGATGGTCCGCCAGTAAACCTTTCTCCTCTCTTAATTATAAACTTTTCTGCTAAAACATATGTTTGTAAAGTTAACTTTACTTTTTCCCTAGTTTTTGTCGAGTTCTTCACGAATTTCTTTTTGTTTCCAGCAACCTCGAATTTTCCGGTCTCGGTCAAGATAAGATTTAAGTTTCAACTTCTGTCGGTCTCTGGATTTATAAAAGTTTTTATAGAACAATTTTCTAATGAAAAGAGGCGTCTTGGGCAAGTTGAAACAACCCAGCGACTACACTTCTTGCTTATAGTTAATTTGCTGTTTATCAAACGACTTAACGAGTAATAATGTTGTATTTTTAGACAATTGTAAGTGAATTTGTGACTGGGCCTTCCATTTTATACGATTCTATCTGACAATTTATACACTAGTAATTAATGTTTTTTTAATCTATTAAGAACGTTTTGGTGAAAAGGGTTCAACCGGTTGAAAATATAGTCCTAAATTTTAATGGCAGAACACAGCACAATTTAATATAAATTTTCAGAAGCCAACAATTTGGCCAAAGCTCGATTGATTTATAGCGGGCAAACTAACTTTTGAAGAAAACATTACTAAATCGTCCTAATATCAGTCTAGTTTTTGTTCCAACGTTCACTTTGAGATAGCGGCAGCTATTAGAAATGTTTTATCCTGACTGCGCGGTAACGTCTTGAGTCCCATCCAGAAAACAATTGTTGGAGCTTGAACTTTCGCTCCTTGGATGCCATAATTTCAACTTAATGTCTTCATTCGTGTCCGTGTAATTGTGTACCAAAGGAACACTTTACCCCGGTGTTTATCTCCATGACACTTGGTAATAGTTCGCGAAAACATCCTTATAGGACTTAAGTGTTGCAACGTTACTCGCGGATTAGTAAATATGGAAATATGTAAATATGAATTTAATTCCATGCGAATAATTAAAATTTTCGTAGTTCATTTTAAGGTCGCGTAAACAAAAGTTATTAAGACGTGTTATTAAATTGCGTTAACATACTGGGAAATTCGTTACTTTATTATACAATTTTAGGATTTAAGGTCTTCACACTAATGGATTCCCACCTTTTCATTAATTTTGTTGTGTACTTAATAACCACTTACTGACTTAGTAAAACCGTGGTCAACTTATGGTCAAATATGAAGGCAAATTTTACTTTTTGAATCCAAAATATCCAAAATTGCTTTGCAGATAATATAGTGTAAAAAGGTACATAAAAAATGTAAGATCGATTTTTCGCATTAGAATTTATTTCAACTTTTATAATTTATAGTAAAGTTTCGACCGCAAAAAGTTCGTATTTCCTTCCCAATGAGAAAAAATCTCAAAATGAACCTGCACTACTATATTTTTGATAGGACCAATAACTGATTGTATCTCTTTTTCAATAAATTACGCCTACATCAATACACATCACTAAAATCGCGAAAAACAGTGTAAATATAATATTCAGATTTATTTTACTTTTTTGTCCTTGTCCTCATTCATTCATCAAATAGCATTTTAAATGCAGTTTAAAAAACCCCAAACCACCACGAATAAGCTTGGTCAGTAAATCTTGATGTTTCGACGTCTTGGATGAGTCTCCGGAACGTCGGTAACAGTGGAATACGTTTTGTGTCTTCCTAGTAGATTTAATGGAAAACGGTTTGGGAATAAACATATATCTTACGATTTTCACAGATGTTGTGCTGTATTGCATCAATTTATTGATTCGCTATTATTAACTTGTTCTGGAAAATCGCAATAAATTCATTCATCGAATAATTTGATGAATGAATTAATCAAATTCATTCAATGAATCAATTCAATGTTTTGCAATTTCTTTTACACAACGTTTCTGGCCATGTTGAGAGTATGAAGATTTATTTAATTTATGCTTTAAAAAAGTTGCGCGCTTTGCTTAAACCCTACGATCCAAATCAAATTCTAAAATATGCAATTTGTTATCAATCGTAGATATGTAAATTACTGTAACTGGTACTTTAGGCAGAGTTTTTTTTTAAGTTCGAGATTTCGAAAAACGTTAGTAAAACCCTTTGAGTCAAATGACCATTAAAACACCTGCAATCGTTTCTTAGCAGCAAAGTTGAAAGTGCATTTTCAGAAGCGTAAATATTTTCCATCAAGTTTTGGCATGCACCAATTTTTCATCATCTCGTCAAATAAAAATTTTAAAAGTCTGGTTATATCCCGTTGATCACAACTTGCTTACAATGCTTACAGAAAAATTTTAAAATATAGTTTAATCACAATTTTAAGGAAAATGTCGCTTGCTTCTCTTGAATAAATTATTCATAAAGTACTGGCAAATATCTAACAATCCTTCGGTTTACTTTTACTTACTTCGCTTAATATTTCTCGGGCAACCTGTCCTCTAACATTATACTTAAACTTACGTTTATACTTTAATCTACTTTTGCCGATTTGAACTTGGCTTTTACCAAAATAGAAACGAGTTTGGCAAGTCAGAAACCATCGACCCTTTCAGTCTACTTGCCATAGATTGCACTAAAGCTCGCCTAAGTATTTCTGATGAGAAAATGCATTAAAGTTTGAAATAACTTTAAATTTACTTTTCGGGGTATTAGCGGCTCATACTCCGCTTCACGGTGTTCATTAGTGCTTGCCACCGAAACGCTCAGATGATAAATTTATATCTCGTAAAAAATTTCAATTTAAAGTGACCATAAATTTCTATTACGAAAGTTGCATTGTTCACTTTAGTTTAGCGAATTCAGAGAAAATTTTATTAGTGCAAATTGTTTGATTGGAATGTTTAGAAAATGTGTTTCTTTTAAAGTCAACATGCAAACTTCCATTACTTAACCAAAATAGAAAGCAAATTCAGAAAACAAATTTAGTGATTTATACAAGTCAGTTTATAATTAAAAAGTGAAATAAACACAAACTGGCGCAGCTAATAACGATCTTAACTGTGGAACTTAATTACTTAAATATTCGGTATATATCAGATATTGATAATAAACAAATGTATTTATAACAAGTGTGTAAAAATAATTTATGTGCTGGACAAACAGTGTCTTCTTCTACTAACAGGACTTTTTCAGCCATTCTGTGTAAATCAGATGTGAGGCCCTAAGCTTATCAAATATCTTGTTCTATCTCAACTTAAGCATGGAAAATAACATCTCTAACATGAAATTAATTAAATTCGTCAGCCGTTAGTCAAAACATAGGCGAAATAAATTCCATACGGTTTGTATATTTCAATTCAGGCTTATAAAGCGTCGTAATGTTGGAAAATTACTTATCAAGGGATTACCTTTTTGATTAATGGATAAATTCAACGGCTGGCCAAGATAAATTACACATAACTGTGATGTATGAGCCTTTTAAATTATCTTCCAAAAATATGCTCGTGCTTTTTAACAAAAGGGCAGTATTATATCACCAATGAAAATGGAAACGTTCGTATCATTTTAATTGTTATCTAATTTATATTTATTAATAATAGATCATCTAGAAAAAAATATAACCCTCGGCAAATGGAATAATAATTACAACAATATTGAAAAACGATTGTTTATAAAAAGACATAAACATATATTAAATCTGAAAATTTCCTATAAATTTAAGAATTCGGATTTTTTTTCGTTTTATAAACAATTTAAAAATCAAACTTGCAACTTGTACAAACAATGGGAGAATTCGTATATTTCTTGGCTAGCTTATAGATAGATAGATACAATCTCACTTCCAAATTCTTTATATAAACTGAGCGCCATGGGAAAAACGCAAATAATTGATAAAATATTAGCTAACGCATCTACAAGATTTTTCATGAGATATAAACACTCGTAAAAAATGTGATCTTCTTAAAATCAATATGAATATCATCAAACTTTTGCGCAAGAAATTCGAATTATCTAATATATTTGTTTATTTGTTATATTTTCGATTAATTACATCTTCTCATTTTGCAATTTAATGTTTATTAGCCCGAGCACAATTGGCACGTTTTAAATATAAAGCGGCATAAAATCATTGTTAGCAGCTCGTGCAATGAAACAAATACTTTATAATTTATCATCGGTTTATTATAAATTATCAAAATGCGTTAATTTGAGTGGTTCTAACATGCAACATAAATACTGGTTTCCATGCTTCATGGCTATTAAGCAGATACATATAAATTAAAATACACAATCGGAATAATGACGTTTGAATACTCGTTATTTTGTATTTAGAGGAGTGCATTATGTTTTTATTTAAAATGTTTCTATGTGTCATTTATCTGATTTGTGTACAATTTTCGAATAGTTCGAATAATAACCACTTATGAACTAGAATTTGTAATTATCGAATATTATATATATAGGGAAGCACTTTGGACTTAGACTTAAATTTTAATATGCGATGTTCTAGTCGTTCTTTAACTTCAATTTGTTTTTGATATATAATATAACCCATACAACTTTATCGGGCAACTTTTTGGGCCTCGTATGCACCTGTACCCCTTGAATTTTTAAATAATGATTAATAATTACAAAATCACTGGAGCTCGGTGGAACAGAACGAACCAAAACTTCAATAAAAATTATGAAGTAGTATAAGATTTAAATTCGTAAGAGTCTGAGACTTTAAACCCCATGGAACAGACAAAATAACAGAGAGCCTAGAAATGAATACAAAAGTCAAAAAGGCGCTATCGGAAAATTATACACAATTGAAGTTATGAAGCCTCATATTGAAGGGCGTCGCTTATTACAC